TCAGGGACTTTTTCTGAATTCCTCCAGCCTCGTAGTTTTTTCACCCATCTTGACATTTAATCAATTGCTTGCCACTGAGTGTAATTTATTCACCAAACATCCCATGAGAATCTGCTCTATGCCCAGCACTGTATAGATCACAGTGGACAGTAAAGTCCTCCCCTCTAGTGGCTTACAGCATGACAGAGAAGAGGGACACTGAGAAAGCACTGTGCTTGCAAGACAATAAGTTACTGCACGTCCTCCCCATTACCCCCAAGCTGGATTGAATTTTGGCTCCTGATTGCTGGGAGTATGCTTTGCGCTCGCCTCGTGGGATCTCATACAATTTGCATTCACAGTAGTTACTCGATAAATACCATCAAAACAACAAATAGTGGGAAACAAACTATTAGAATGCTCGACTACTTCTTGTTCTCCTTCCCCTTCTATACCTTAAGAGGCCCCAGGCTGGAAAAAGCAGAGGCTCTGAGATATCTTAGGACCTGGGTTCAAATCCTGATTTTGCCTGTTGCTAGCTGGTTGCCAATGGGCAATTTACTCTCTAAGTTTCACATGCCTGCTTTCTAAATTGGGGCCGTACTATCTTCTCCAAGCAGTCACTGTGAGGACTGCATGCGGCAACTGAGTTAAATATGATATGGACCCTAACACGAAGTCAACCTGTAAATGCTTGTTCCCCTCCTCTCGACCATTTAACCTTGGCTGTGAGGCCAAGGAAGCTGTTTTCCCAATACAGGACTTTGTTCACTTGAGGCAATGAATGCAGAAAGAACAGTGACATTTTAGGTCTGGAAGAGATTAGCTGAATCCCTTTATTTTCTTGGTGAGAAAATTGAGGCCCAGTGAGCTCTGGTGACTCCCCTTAGTTAACACAGTGATTGTAGTCGTAGAGCTAGAACCAGAACCCGGGCCCTCTGTTTCCAACATTCAGCACATTTTTGGGCAGCCTGTCCTAGAATCTCACTGCCAGTCTTTCTCAGAAAAGGGAGTGCCTTCATGTTAGGGTTCATCTAAAGACACTGCCCAGGAAGATAAAGGATTCCTGTGAAGTCAGCTGGAGAGATTCCCAAGTGCTTCACAGCTTTCCGCAAACTCCCAGGGAGGTGGTCACCTCGCCATAACACATTCCATTCCAGGCAAGCAGAGCTGGAGTGGTGCCCCTGGGGGTAGGCCTAGTTTCCTCCTCTGCTTTCACAGATTCAGATGCTGGTGGGACATGGAGTGAGTGGGGACCCAGGAGATGAGGAGGGGGATCAACAGAGGACAGGACTGGCCTAGGAATGAGTCATTTGATATCTCTCCAGCCCACATCCTCCAAACTCTTCTACAAATGGAGCTCTTTCTCCAGAGCCTCAATGGCTCTGACCAACAGCAACACTAATATTTTGAGGTGCCAGGTACAGTGACGGGCTCTGCGTGCATTAAATACTTGGAACTTACTTTCTTTTTTTGGGAGAGGTTTTTTTTTTTTTTTTTTTCCGCTATAGGTCATGTGCGCTCGCCAGACAGAGAGAGACATAGAGACAAAAAGCGAGAAATCACCCCCCAGGGGGGACAGTCACGCCACAATCCCTTCTCCTCCATTCTCCTCCTCCATTCTCCTCTCGGGATCTTGGGCACACACGCACACGTGCCCGGCGTGAGTTTTAAGCCACCAGGTCCAGGACGCAAACCGCGGTGGACTATGTAGGAGTCCAGCGACATAGCCATTATGCTAACTGCTGGTTCCCACTTGGAACCTACTTTCGAGAGTCAGGAGAAAGTGATAGTTAAGGGTAATCTCTGCTTAAACTTTCTGGGTTCAAATCTAGTTCTCTCACTTATATTCTGGGTAACTTTGAGCAAGTTATTTAAACCTCTTTGTGCTTCACTTAGCCTTCTCTGCAAAAGAGGCATTATGGTACCTACCTCACAAGTTGTTCAAAGATTTAAGTGAGTTAATATACACTTCAAGCACTTACAGTAGCACTAGGTGCATGGCAAGCTCTGTGCACATTGCACATTGGTGTTACAATGTTATTGTCATCTTCTTAGGGACCTTCTCTTCATTGTCTAAAGGGTCCCCCTTAGAGTGTCACGGTCATTTTAGTGTTTGTTATCTTCAAAGCACTTATAATCTGGGATTTTCTTCTTCTCCCTCTTTTTCCTCCTCCATAACCTCCTCTTCTCTCTCCTTTGTCTTCTTAAAACTTGTTCGTTGGGCCAGACCCATAGTCTCTCTCTCTCTCTTTTTTTTTTTTTTAGAGGTTTTGGCTATAGGGTGCGTGCGCTTGCCAGAAAGACAGAGACAGAGAGACAGAAAGGGAGAAATAACCCCCCGGGGGATGGCCACACCGCAATCCCTCCTCCTCCTTTCTCCTCTCAGGATCTTGGGCACGCACACACACGCGCCCAGCGTGAGTTTAAGCCACCAGGTCCAGGACTCAAACCACGGTCGACTACATGGTAGACCAGCAACATAGCCATTACTCTAACTGCTGGTCCCAATAGTCTCTTGACCAGAGAATGCATGGCTGACCACAGTCCAAGTCCCAGCTCTAGAACCTCGAAAAACACTCCAAAGAAGTGTGCACACATGCTCAAAATCCCAGTAGGATGGAGAAGTGGGGAGAAGGGATTGCAGCATGGCCATGCCCCATGGAGGGGTGTTTTCGTGCTCTCTTTTTCTGGCAAGTGCTTGTCCTTCTGGCAATTAAAATGATAATAATAATATATTTATTGTTTGTTGGTTGGTTGGTTTCCAAGAACATGTAAGTCCCACGGGAACTGGGTCTGTACCCAGCACCTATTTGTTGAACTTAATTGAATTATTTCATTGGCTTTTTCCAAACCATATGAAGCAGATACTCACACCATTCTTATTTTATGGAGGAGCAAACTGAGTCCCTGAGAGTTTTCTTTGTTTGCTCAAGGTCACTCAGAGAGGGCTCAAACCCCTCACTCTTAAGTACTATGCTGGATTGGATTTTCTTCGTCAAACATCCTTAGCAAGTAGGTGGAGAGAATGCCACATCTGGACATTTCTCTCCTCTCTCCATTGGGATATAAGCTGGCATTATTGACGTTGAGAACAGAGGCAATGACCCGGAGGATCGTTCCTCTTCTACAGAGCGTGGCCTCAGCATCTCCTGGCCTCAGCAGCTCCCTTCTCACCTGGCCTGAGAACCCTTCCATCCAATCTCATACTCAATCTCATTTTTTCATCTCTAATCCTTTCACCATCCAATCCCATCTGATGTCTTCTCCACCCCCAGTTTCATTCTCATCCTCATTCCTATCTTTGTGAGGCAGGGCTTGGGTTGGGCTTTGTCCCAAGGCCTGAGACTAACATTTGTGACCCAGAGTAGAGAAGATTTGGTTGCTTTTACACTGTAAATACCACAATTGCCATAAATTTCTTGAGTCACCCTTTTTCAGTCCTTTTTCTCCAGGACATTTTTGTAGCTCATTTACATGTTTTGTTTCATACTTTCCAGAGTCTGACCTCTCCTCTACACTTACGCAATAGTTAACCTCTTTTTCTTAACCTCTGGGCTGCTTGATTCTGCTTCCAGACACTTCCCAAGGAGAATTGGGCACAAAGTTCCAGGGAGGGTGGAGCCAGATTAGGATGCTGGCAAATTCCCAGGCTTAAGACATTGCCACTCTCTCTGCAAATCTTTAAGTTTTATCCCACTCATTGAGCAACTTTCTGGCAATCCATGGAGGGTGGGACAGAGCAGCCAAATCACATGAGCACAGGCCTAGGGCGGATGTTCAGAGCTCAGCCGGGACCTGGAGGCAGGACTGCGGTCAGGCAGGCCTGTGTAATTGGGCAAATATCACTGACTTCTCAATACCCTCATAGACAGCCGAATAAAGGCGAAAGGAGGCTCCCAGAAGGGATTTTCCTCTGCTGCTGTTTACAGGTGAAGTTGGCACTAGAATCCCAGGGCTGTTGGCTCCTCATCTGATGCTCCACCAGCCTTATCAAAGAGATACCTTCAATACAGAGGGCTGGAAACCGGTGGCATTTGTAGGGGCAATGAAAAGAGCCTAGTGCAAGGGTGTGGACATAGCCTGAAACTCTCCTGCCATGGGTCCTACTGGCTGGAGAATTCTGACCCAGCAAATCCAATCCTAGATATATACCTAGATCCACACCCACGACACAGGAGTATATTATGTCCACTGAAAGACAGGCACAAGAACGTTCCTAGCAGCTTTATTCATAATCTCCAACATAAAAACGTAACAACAACCCAAATTCCCATCCACATAAGAACGAAACAACTGTGGTACATCTCTACAATGGAACACTTCTCAGCAATAAAAAGGAACAAACCGCTGACACACACGACAACATGAATGAATCACGAAGGTATTACAGTGAGCAAAAGAGGCCAGTCTCGGAAAAGTACGTCCCGTAGTCGGCCCCATAATGCAGTGGTTAAGTGCTGTGTATTGGGAGCCAGATCCCCTATCGCCAATCCCAGTTCAAATACTGGCCCTAGCTGCATGTGTGGGCATGCATGCCCAAAATCCTGATGGGAAAGAGAAATGGAGGAAAGGGATTGCAGTGTGACCATGTCCAACTTCAGTGGTTGCTTCTAGGAGTTGTGGGAGACTGACTGAAAGTGGGTAAAAGGGAAGTTTCTGGGGCGATGGAAATGTTGAAATGTTCTATATCTTCACCTGGTTGTAATATGTATATGGTTACTTGAATGTGTACACTTGGGTTGGCCCAATGACCAAGTGTTTAACAGAGCCATGCCCCACATGGCTAACTGTGGTTTGAATACTGGCCCCAATAGCTTAAGAAAAGTGCCAGGAACATGTGCATGCTTGCCCAAAAGCCCAACAGGATGAAGAAATGGAGAAGAAATTGTGGCATGACCATGTCCCACTGGGGGTGCTTTCTCTCTATCTCTGTTTCTCTCTGGCAAGTATACACATCCTCTGGGAATTAAAAAAAAATGATTTGTACACTTTACTATATGCAAATTATACCTCAATTTACAACAGTTTACAGCTCAGCTTTTTTTAAATAAAGAAGCTAAGTGAAGAAAGAAAAGGAAGGATCTTAAAGAGCTGAGTGTGGAGGTGACATCACAGGTTAGTAACTCTTGGTCTGCCTGGGACTGAGGGGCTTTCTAGGATGAGAGACTTTCAGTGCTAAAACTTGGAGAGTTCTGGGCAAACCAGGACAACTGGTCACCCAACTCCCATGGGAAGTAGAAAATTGAGAGGGAGTTTTGGATATCTGCAAGAGGCTAAGGTGCCTCAGTCCCAGAGCCCAGAGAATGCTCCAATGGGACTGGAGAAGGGCCTGCCATGGGCCTGGGCAGCAGGCATCACTGGCTGATATCAGGAAGGTCAGGGCTGGGGAGGTGTCTTTGTACCATGGTGCCCTCTTCCAGGTTCCTGACCCTCTAGGAGCAGAAAGGAATGGGAAGGGGGCTGCTTCTCTTTGCAGCTGGAGGGGAAAGGCCCTAGAAACGGAATAGAGGCCATTGGGCTGTGCAAGTTCTAAGCATCACAGGGTTCCGAGGAAGCTCCTACTCAGAGATATCCCTACCCTCGCCTACCTCAAATGCCTCAGCTAAAAAAATACCAAAGCAATGTGTCAATTCTGTGGGAGTAAAACGGAAAAACAGGGACCTATTGGAGGAAAACATTATCTTTTTCGCCTCCACAAGTGTCACAAGCAGAGCCTGTGTCCCCTCCCCACTTTGCTTGCCACAACCTGCCATGGCTTGAGTCGGGCATAAGGGGTGGTCTCCTTTATCTTCTCAGAGAATGGGACAGATGGGGAAGGAGTGGGGCTCCTCCAGCTCTCCAAGTGAGGCCTGAGGTGGATGCTGACTGAAACTGTCGGCACGGCTGGAAACTTAGGTCCACGGGTGGGAGGGCAGGAGGCTGGAGGCAAGAGCCAGGGGGCAGGCTTAGAAGTTCTCGTAGTGGTGTATGAAGTGAGCTTGGTCCTGCCTGTTGATGAGCTGACAGGCCTTCTCCACGTTCTTGGTCATTCCTGGAGGGCCACAACTGAACACCCCGATCTTGCGCACCTGTAAGGTAATTGGAGAGAAAAAGGAAGGCCTGCAGCCATGAGATGTTCACTCTCTGCTTCAGCAGCCTGTCCAGAATGACCAGGGTTTCAACCCCAGGCCCCGAGGAGCTTGAGCTATTGGGGGGTTGAAGTCCCCCTCTAATTCCTGACCCATCCTGAGGCCAGCAGGCATCACCAGTTGACATCGGGAGCATCAGGGCTGTGGGTGTGCTTGCTCACGATATAGCTGCAGGGTACTCGAGGGCCAGGACGTCCTGACAGGGCAAGGCCAGAGTGTAAAGGTGGGAGAGGCTGGGACTGACCTGGGGGTGGACCTCCTGCAGGGAGTTGAAGAAGGGTTCAAAGGGGGGACGGCCGAAGTGGGTGACAGAGCGCAGGCCCGTGAACAGGCTCCGGGTCAGCACCTTCTGGAAGTGC